TGCTGTCATTGGGCACGAGCAGTTCTAAATAACTCCTGCCACTTCTGCAGATCTCTTCCTGGTCCTTCCCCCTGCACAACTCAACAACATTTAGTTTGGGCAGATGGTAGTGCAACTCATAATGTCAACACACAGATAACTGAACTTCTACTCCAGAATACAAAACCTTTTGTAGATGCTACATAATGTTGTGCTATATATCATTCATCAATATCTTACAATTTTCAAAAGAAAAGGAATTATGACTGCTTGATTTTAACAAATAATTGGCAGACCCAGTTTAAGTTCAGCATAGAAAAAAATAATTTCGAGACAAAGGGACACACAATATCACTGGCCAATACTCAAATTAATTATGTATCCATATCAATCAGTGCGAGTTTGCTTAAAAACATGTTGATTGTGTGTCCATATAAAATCAACAAAGACATTTTGTGGATCTAAAGGAAAATGAAAAGAGAACAATTAAACATGGTGTCGAACCCAGACAAGCATGGAACAGCCCCATGTAAAAGATAAGAGGAAGGATTTTATCTGCCAAAATTTGCAATTGAGTGAAGGCTGATAGAGAGATGCTTATATCCAATCCATTTTGTGAGACTTTGAGCCAGAATTCATCCAGGAGTAGAATATTATAACATTTTTGCAGAAATCTAGTGTGATGAGAATAAATACAGTCCCAGAAAAAGGTATATTACATAAATGCCACCCTATCACCACACACAAGTGTCTGTCTATACCCATGATAGGATAAGCAACCACGGTAGCACTAGAAAGTTGAAATGTGCTTGGAAAACAATTCAGCATCTAATTGGGGAAAAAAAACTCCCTTTTGCTATGTACAGTAATCAGGTTTCAACTGAACAATCCAACTTCTTGCAACAGCTCAAATTTTGTTCATATGCCAACAGATTGAAATGATATAATCTCATGCACTGGAAGCCCAGGCACTTACTATCAATTTTTAATATAATTACCTGAACTGAGTTGATTTCATAAATTTGACCTTCAGTAAACTCTATGTCCAATGCCTGTATGCAAGCTTCTGCAACAACAAGCCTGCTAACCTCTCCGACCAATGTATCTCCTGGAAACAAAATGAAAAACCATCAAAAGAGAAGATAGCAGAACATGAAAAGATAATTGCCACAACAGTCTAAAGGAAATGATGCAGACATTAGGCCCAATTCAAAACAGCCATCGCAGAAGCCTTCTTGCTAATTCTAAAGGTTATGTTGGAAAATTCCTCGCAAAAACCCTGGCCATCAGACAACAGACTACCATCCCCAAAAATCTCATTGATGGCATTCTTTTGTTCTACCATGACTCTGTCTATCTCCATTGCCATCAATTATTTCTTTCTCTAGGTTCAACGTCCCTTTTATATATACACATGTGATGTACGATCACGTGCCATAAATTTAGTTTAATTTATAATAGATAATTAAATATTATATTGGGTTTGTTAAATTATTGTTACGATGTAATTGAGACTTTCAAGTGACTTGACATTCTTGGGTAAATCACTCGTAGGAGAAATTAAGTGGAATTCTAAAAGTCTTTGGGTAAAAATAACATCAAAAAGAGATTTGGAGGGTCGAAAAATGTTAGGCTAGACGATATGGGGTGTATTAATGGTTTGGAGGTATTTCGGGTTTAAAATGCATTTTGGAGAGAATTCGGATAGGGAGGAATTTGACACTACCTTAGTAGTTATGTGTCAAATCTTAATAGTTTGGCCATAAGTTTTTACTTCAATGTCCGATTGCGCTAATTCTTGCAACATTGGAAAGTAGACTTCAAGATTTACAAAAGTGTGTTTCATTTTTATTTTGTGAATCGGTCTCTAATTAGGTCAAATCGAGCTAGAAGTCTGAGAAAAAAAGTCACCTGCGTCTTAACGCACCGAGAGTGCGCCCAAACACAACTTTGACACTGCGGGCAATCAATTTGGTCCGTCTGAATGCAAAAACACACGTCTGGACCAAAGATCAATATCTCGTTTCGGTGTACCATTTCAATTAGCTTGGAAACACAAACATTTCGGAAACGCAATGAAAGCAGAGAAAAGATATAGAAATATGTGGAAACACGTGGAAACATAAATAAAATCCCTTTATTTATAAAGATAAGCTTAATAATTGATTGATTAAGTACGTTTATTGGGTTAACATCCACTTATATAAGAAAACATTAAGTTGAAGGAAAAAAAAAAAAAGTTTGACACAAGGTGGAAGTCACTTCAACTAATTGAAATTGTGTCGTTGAATTACTAAGTAATATTATTTCATTAATATTAAAATCATTGAATAAACAATTTTTGCTCACACAAATACTTAACTTTAGATATTTAATATACTATAAAATTAATTGCAAATATTTAACAAATAAGGTAAATTGCTAATATAACAATTTAGCAAATAACAATTTATCAAAAACTTGAGGTCGTTATTAAATATCACCCAATTTACTTCAAAATCATATATATATATATATATTGTAAATCTGAGACCTACCTATTTTTATACAATTTTGTAAACTTTGTTTAGATTTGGAAAAATTTCTCTATTCAGTTAGTTGTGCTCACCCTTTTAACATTTTTCAAATTTTAGTATTGAAGATGATACAGACTTAAGTGAGCATCTAAAGTTGAATGTTGGAGTGGATTGAGATGTGGATCCCACTTTTGAGGCTTAGAGATGTATTTACCAGTTTATAGTTTTAAAGTTTTGATAATGGAAACATGTTTATGAATTATGAACACTATGTAGTTAGAGTAGAGGTATTTGATTTATTTAAAGTTTTTGAGATGTAAATCTTTCTCAGTTGAATTATGTTTTGGAGGTTTTTAGCTAGATGAAGTTGGATACTGTTGTGTTGATTTATTTTATTATATTTGTAGTATGCTCTCATGATTTTAAAGGTTATTAGTTAGATTACGTTTGCTCATGGAGTTGGGGCGTGACATGTGATGTATAATAAAATGCATTTCATTTTGAACACACCTTCACTTTTTTCTTTAGCAAGAAAAAATTATATTAAATGAGAAAAAAATGAGTATTCTTTACATAATGAAAGGTATCCCTCCCAAAAGCATAAAACACCATTTAGGAACAACAAAAAAATATATACATGAAAGCTCCCTATCCTAAACTCACAACTGTAAAACATACTGCATAAACTATGATGCAAAGTCCCAGTAAAACATACTGAATAAACTACGATACAAAATCCCACAACTAGGACGCATGAACATTTCATCTGACAAGACCACTTATCTGTGTCAAACATGGAGTGGATATACACTTCTCGTTTACCCCCGAACACATGCATGACACCCCTTTGGCTGTGCTTGAATTAAAAAATGATAATGTCAATTTCCAACAAGTGTCAACCATTATTTGGACGCTGAAGAACACGTATTAGGAAAACTTGGAAGTTGGGATATGACTTGCTCATCACATGAGAGTAGTCAGCAAGTCTCATCACATTAGCGTAGAAGAAATAAAATTAAAGATCCATAAAACATGTCAGCCAGTCTTAAATTTATTAAAAAAACAAAAAAATGTGAAACAAGAGGCATGAGAGGAGTTTTTTTTTTGGGTTGGGGAGAACAAGTGAGGACTATAGTACATCATAAGTATTTATCCTTGCTATGCTTTGTTTATAACAAGAGGTATAGTTGACAATTATGCTTTTTATAAGTTAAATATTTCCTGCTCCAGCAATAGACTTGATATTACTCTGTATATTACCCGAATAGATAAACAAATCATATAAAGATGAAATGAATTAGTTATTGACTAGTCCTCACCATATTTATGTACCATTTTTTAAATATATGTCATGCTGGTATGATCTTATCATGTCACATCTGAGCTTATAGTCCGCCCAAAAGCACAAAGCTAATCATCAAACCAACTGATAGTAAAAACAAGCTCTCACTGCAAAGATAGCAAACAACCACAAAAAACCTACTCAGTGTAGATCACAGCAGATTCGTCCAAACATTCCACATGGTAAAAAATATTCTGCTTATCAAAAAGATATTCCAAATGACTGCCTGTTCTTTTCTCCTCCTATTTCTAAAATCCTCTGATTCCACATGCCTAAATAACATAGCTGCAACCCCCAGTCCTCCTGCTATAACTTTTAAGGATTTTCTTACACAATGTTCCACTTCTCCATTTCCAAACCATATTTCTCCAACCCAAGCCACACAAGTGGAGGACTGCTTAACTCTCCACGGAACCTTTGGATCACTTTCATAAATAGATAGCATTTCATCAAGATTTCTCTTCAGGGAACAATATTTCACCAACTATGGCCACATTAATTCCTTGACTTAATGGACATGCTTAAGACGCGTATATTCTTCCGGTCAGGCGCATATTGTTGCCGTATGCTACAGTAAACTTCAGTCCATGTTCAAAGGATCTATGATTTGATTCAATATCTACATAGATATATAATCCACTTGGATGATACAGAACACATGGTTTAGCTTGTTTCATGTGAATAGCTGAAGATCAGATACCTTGTCCTATAACAACTGCACGACGTTCACCAGCTGTAGCTTTGAGCAGAGTATTAAGATCGTATGATGTGTAGGGGCCATCTGTCAACCTACCAGCTCTACAATAAAAAAATTCCAGCATAAGTAAATACCCAATAGCATGAAATTCATTGCGCAATATTGAAGTTTCTCTCTAGTCACCACAATAAATAACTATTGTCTCAATATCAAGTAAGATACCAAATTAGGAGTCACATACCTGATTATGGTAAACGGAAGACCAGAATCACGAACAAAGTCCTCTCCCATCTTCTTATACTTGAGAACACCAAAAAGGTTCATGATGCTATAGGTTAAACAAAACATAAAAAACCACTGGATGAGAAAATTAAAATATCTTATTAAGAAATTAGGAATACATGGGACTGATATCCACCTTTAGCTTTGCAACAAGCAAATAGAAACATCAAAACCATTGTTGTGAGTAAAGCACGTAAAAAGTATGAGTGACCGGTACAAAAACTGGAGAATATCTCTGCGAAGAACAAGAAGGATTGTGTTTCCATGCGAAGAGGAAAAAGGATTCACGGCTGCCAAAAATATTATAAATTTTAAAAAATATCACCACAAACCACTCAATTAGCGGAATCCATCTATGATTTTTTGGCGTTAATCCGATCTAATTTATTTTTCAAAATAAATTAGTTATTTTTCCGAAAACCTACCCATGCCTTTCCTTGGAAGCCTTATGCCAGTTATACTTACCCAAGGATGGCCCAGTGGTCTGGAACGAGGATCGAGAAGGTCTATGGCCTTAAGGTGCTCAGAAGTGGCTGTTTGTATAGTTTCGGCGGTTTGGCTCTCATGTTCATTCCTTGGTTGTTTTTTATGATGTTTTTGCTTGATTAGTTGCAGTTTTGAAATGGTGGTTGTGTTTCTTGCTGCATTCAGGTTAATTTAACACATTTGATGAGTGTCTGAGATTGCTGAGTTAAGATTCAAACCTAGATAAGGATGTCGGAGGACAGTTTTGCAAACACATTCACAAGCAGTAGCAAGTCAGATTGGGCTTTGGATTGAAAATCCTACCTTATAGATTATAACAACAAAGCTTGACGGATATAATCATCTTGTTTGGTCGCAGTCCACTATGATCATTGTTAAGAGCAAGAGAAATAAATTGAGCAAACATAAATTGATAATCCTCTTTATGGCAAGCGGGGGCCGAAAATCCCATGACCATGTTGTAGCTACATCACTCCATGCTGTTAGAGTATTAATACTAAGGGTAGTTTAGGCATTTTCTTTATGTTGTGTTGCCATACTATATAAGACTTACTTTGTGTATATATTTTCTCTTACTCTTCTCTATGATCAATTTTATCATGGTATCAAAGCATGTTAAGATCCAAATATGATTAACAATACAATGGCTTCATCAAAAGGAAAGTGTAGGAGGAGAAGAGGGTTCGGAATTGCCACGGCGAAGACTTTTGATCAGATTTTCTGCCTTGGTGACTTCTTGCGAGCAGATTTTCTGCCGAACATGAAACCATATCAGCAGGAAATGGCTGTGCACGTGTTCTTCTCCTCTGCTTGATGTCTTCTGCGATTGCTGGGTTGGTGAATCTTTCTGCCTTGGTGACTTCTTGCGAGCAGATTTTCTGCCGAACATGAAACCATACCAGCAGGACACGGCTGTGCACGTGCTCTTCTCTTCTTCTCTTCCTTCTGCCTTAGTGACTTCTTTTCTATTGTTGGTAACCATTGCAGGTCTATTGCTTCTTGTTTGGGTTAGTATTTGATTTTGGACTATTGGTCTATTTGTTATTTGGATTGTTTAATTCTTGGAATACTTTTGGCTTGTTGGGTTTTGCTTTGTTGGCTTTTGGCTTGCTGGGTTTTCTAGCTAGATTGGGTTTTGATTGTTTTGCCTTGTTGACTCGCTGGTTTGACTTGTTGACTTTGGGTTGTTGCTGGAATTTACTTGAGTGTATTCTTGCAAATTATTAGTGCCCGTTCTTTGTTGATCTATGGCAAGTGGAAATTCTGATTCGCTTTAGGCAATTAGTGTGAGATTAATAGGTGGAAATTATGTTTATTCAGCTTATGTTATGAAAAAAATTTTATTGGAGAAAGACATGTGGAATTATATTAGTGGTGTTGCATAGACTCCAACTAATACTAAGGTAGAAAATTATGCTGCCTTGAAGAGTACTTGGGATATCAACAATGCGAAAATTATCACTTGGATTAATAACTTAGTTGATCAGACCATTGGGGTTCATCTATCAAAATTTAGCACAGCTAAGGAAATTTGGGATTATTTGGCCACACTTTTTGTTCAATCTAATTTTGCAAAGAGGTATCAGTTAGAGCATGAGACTTGAGATGCACGCCAGGGGGATAAAAACATACAATAATTCTACTCAGTTATGACTGACTTCTGGGATCAGCTATCACTTACTGAACCCACTGACTTGAGCACTAATTTGACATATCGTACCTTCAGAGAGGAACAAAGGCTGGTGCAATTCTTGATGACCCTTAGAGATAACTTTGAGGGGCTTCGTGGTTCTATTCTTCATCGTCACCCACTCCCCTCAGTAGATGCAGTTGTTAATGAGCTCTTTTCCATTGCCAAATCAGACTGTATTGGTTGTTCCGTCCAAATTGACCTCTAATTCCCAAAACAAATATCGAGGTCGAGTTTTTTCTGATGAGTGTAGCTTCTGTCGTGAAAAGGGCTACTGGAAGGCTTAATGTCCAAAGTTGATAAATAAGAATGCACGAGGGTCTCAAAATTAGTCATTTAAATCCAGACATCGTCATACAGCGGCCATAGCACCACCAGTGGATGAGTCAGCCTCATCAGCTCCCAAACTGACTATGCTTGCAGATCAGCTACAGAAGTTTCTCTCTCTTCATCAGTCTGGTGCTCTCATAGGTTCTTCCACTATAGGTTCGTTCAGCTCAGTTACTTCAGGTATATCTCGAACCGTCTGGGTTTTTGACTCAAGTGCCACATATCATATGACCAGTGACTCTTCTTTGTTTGCATCTATTGTTTCTCCTCCATCTTTATTTGTCCTTGCTGCTAATGGTTCTTAAATGTCATTAACTGGTGTTGGAACAATTATTTTTTCTAATCTTACCCTTTCAAATGTCTATTATATTCCTCAACTTACTTTGAATTTACTTTCAGTCAGTCAACTATTTGATTCTAGATTTTTGGTTCATTTCTCTTCCTCTAGTTGTGTTGTGCAGGATCCAGGGTCCAAGAAGCTGATTGGGACAGGCTGTAGAAAGGGCGGGTTATATGTGTTGGAGGAGCTTCATGTCCCAGATGTTGTTGTTACTGCTTCTATTGTTGATTTATCTTCATTTCGTTTGAGTCCAGAGTCATCTAGTTTTTATTTATGACATTCTCGTCTTTGGTCATGTTTCTTATTCTCATTTAAAATTTTTAGCTTCGACAGGTAGTTTGGGTAATTTAGCAAGCCATGACATTTCTGATTGTATTGGATGCAAGTTGGCTAAATTTAGTGCATTGCCATTCAATAAAAGTGTTACTTGTTCTCTTGCACCATTTGATCTTGTTCACTCTGATATATGGAGACCGGCTCCTATTCCTACACAAGGAGGGTCCGAATATTATGTTTCATTTATTGATGATTACACGAGGTATTGTTGGATATTCTTGATGAAACGTCGGTCTGAATTCTTTTCCATCTTCACTACATTTCGTAATATGGTACGCATTCAATATTCCGTAGTCATTAAATATTTTCGGTGTGATTAGGGAAGTGAATATACTCTTACTTCTTTTCATAATTTGTTGAAATCTGATGATACATATTATCAATCCTCTTGCACTGACACACCTGAGCATAATGGTGTTGATGAACGAAAACACCGTCATATTTTAAAGACAACAAGTTCTCTTTTTTTATCAGCACATATTCCCAGCTCATTTTGGGGGGAAACAGTTTTGACAACAGTTCATTTGATCAACACCATTCTTATTATTCTCACCTCTGGAATCTTCTTTCCTTTTGAAAGTTAACTATTTTTCTTTAAGTGTGTTTGGTTGTCCCTGCTTTGTTTTGCTCCCTAGTGTTCTTCGTACTAAACTTTCTGCCAGTTCAACTTTATGTGTATTTCTAGGTTATGGTGAGGGTCAAAAAAGGTATCGTTGCTATGATCCCATCACCCACAAACTTTATGTCTCTCGTAATATTTTTTTTATGGAACATATTCCATTCTTTTCAATTCCATCTAGTTCTTCCTCATTGAATAAATCTGACTTGCTATATATTGATCCCTTTCCTACTAATATTCCTCATGACACATGTTAGTGATATACCTGTGTCAGATCCTTCATCTTCTGAGCCGACTATTACTCGTCCCCCTATTGTGCATACATATGTTCGCAGGACTCCAGTTATCTCCTTTCCGGATGCAGTGCCTCCCTTTTCTCCTCCGGCCGCCCAATCCGGTTTAGACACAGTGGATCATACACCACGCTATCCTCAGCGCTCTCACAAATGTTCAGACAGGTTTGGTTGGAGTAATACTTGTTATTCTTCTGACTTTTGTTCTTTTCTTACTTCTATTTATTCTCTATTTGAACCCACCTCCTACAAAGAGGCTTTACTTGATCCACTTTGAAAACAGACTATGGATGAAGAGTTGTATGTCTTACATAAGACCAGAGCCTGGGAGCTAGTGCCTTTACCGCCCGGTAAACGCACCATTGGTTATAAGTGGGTTTATAAGATAGAAAACCAAGTCGGATGGTTCTGTAGAACGATATAAAGCTTGATTAGTAGCCAAGGGGTTTGCTCAGGAATATGGTCTAGATTATGATGAGATTCTTGCTCCAGTTGCCAAGATGACTACTGTTCGCATCATGATTGCAATTGCTGCCATTCGACAATGGAGTTTGTCTCAAATGGATGTGAAAAATGTATTTCTACATGGAGATTTAACTAAAGAAGTTTTTATGACACCTCCCCCTGAATTTTTTTATAGTTCTGGTCAAGTATGTCGACTTCATCGTGCCTTATATAATCTTAAAAAGGCTCCCAGGACATGGTTTGCCAAATTTTCTATAGTTATTTGTGACTTGGGTTTTCGCGCCAGTAAACATGATTCTGTTCTCTTTTTGCGGTCTACTTCCTCAGGTTCTATTATTCTCTTACTATATATTCATGATATGATTATTACAGGTGATGACACTGTTGGCATATGCTTATTGAAAACCCAGTTGCAGGACCATTTTGAGATAAAAGATTTAGGATAGCTTAGATATTTCTTGGGTATTGAGATTGCTTCCTCTC